GAAGGAAGGAAGGAAGGAAGGAAGGAAGGAAGGAAGGAAGGAAGGAAGGAAGGAAGGAAGGAAGGAAGGGCATTTTTACATACAATGTGCTAATACACTACTAAAAATATGCCTAAAATAATTTTAGTGGCATATAAAACGTTAATAAATAAAAATACTGTGCAAACCATACAACAGAACTACCTTACATTTTTTATGAATTAGATCAAACAATTCCACACAGTCTAGCCTTTCACACTTCCATACCGTGGAGCTTTGCGATTTACAAGCCTAAGCGTAGCAGAACAGGGACGCCTGCGTACCTGTCGAAAGACCTGAAGTGCACAGCGTGGGCAGCCAGGTCACTGAGAGCACCCAGGCTGGCCGGGGGCAGGAGGCCGGGATCCGCTGGGGCTCCATCGGCCGGCATGTTAACCAGGCTCCGGAGAATGTCCTTCACATTGACAGGCTTTGAAACTGGAACTGATGGTGTCTTCTTCCTATCCACCTCGTTTCCTCCATCCGCTTTTGTTTCCTGAGATTTATTGACTTCCAAAGAAAGAGTGGACAGCACCTCACTGACGGCGTCGGGGCCCGCGCTGACCCCTGGAGGCGCTCCTGGAGAAGCTACAGACACCGTGCTTCCTAGGCCAGAGGCTGTCTCCTCACCCAGGCCAGAGTCCCTCCTGCGAGCAGAGGCGGCACCTCCCGAGGGGTCCTCCACCGAAGACATGGTTAAAGAGCTGCATTCTGCTACTGTGCTTTCTGCATCTTAACCAAAAACAGAAAAGCAAATCTTAAAAATCAAGTTTTAAAAAAAATAATAATTTTATTTCTATTCAAGTCCCAGTAGCCATCCAGGATTTCCTATCATGTTCTCTCAAAATCAAAAAGTCTTAACACATATTTTAAAATATAATGAAGGCATGCATCTTATAACCAAAATAGATGACAGAATCAACAACTCATAAATACCCACAACACCCTTCAGAAGAGAGCATAACATAAACATGGATCGTCATAGAGTTGAATCCTACAGTGCATAAAGGAAAAACTACCTCACACGCAGTTTCCACTGCTGAAAAGAATGGTCAGCGCCTCCCACATGCGGAACAAATGGATGCTGAGGAAGGTCTAGTTCAACAGGAGCTCCCCCACGCCTGCTGAGACAGGGTCTCATGTATCCCAGAATGGCTATGAATCCAAGACAGACCTTGAGCCTGTGATCTCACTCCCTCCAGCCCCTGAGTGCCGAGGTTACAGAGATGTGCTGCCATGACAGCTGATGAGGCCTCGGGAATCCCAGGCAGGATGTCGCGCATGCCAGGCAAGCACTCGCCCAACTGAGCTATGTCCCCAGCCCAAGCCGCCCACGCTGCTGCCCAGCGTGACTCTCTGATCAGTCAAATTCCCAACCCTTCCAACCAGATGCTCTTTTCAAATTCACCAAAAGGCGACACCTTGCCAAACTCAATGGCCAGTGCTTTTCCATACAGCACCTGGGACAGCAGCCGTGGATGCTCCCCACACTGACGACTCTGTCCTCCCTTGACACATAGGTTGTTTTCACTTCACCAGTGGTTTCTCCTTAATGTCTTTAACTTTGTCTTCCCTGATTTATTAAGCTTGTGGAACTTAGGGGGTCAATCCTTGATCCTTTTAGTCTTGGTTCTCTCCTCACCTCTATCTGCATGTATGTTCGCTCAGGATCCCCCCACTCTGCACATTATACATGGACGTGCACTTTGGTGGATATACATATACACGCACATGCAGCGCACACACAGTGTACACACACAGTGTACACACACACACACACACACACACACACAGCTATCCCACAGCCTGCCCTCCATCTGCTCCGTCAAAATCTCCAAAGTCAAAGGTTGAAAACTGAAGCATATCACCTTCAGTCTGCTCCAGCTATCTTACAGTAACTATTAAATGCCTTTTCTTTGTTAAGTACCCACATTAATGTTCAGAAATACTGTTCTTCTGTCACCCAATCCATCTGGGATCTGACTGCCTCTAGTTATCTCTGTGTTCCAACCCCAGCCCATCAGGTGAACTGCTGCTGCGCTGTCCTCATAACTGGTCAGGAAAGGCAATTACTGTAAAGAGACCACTGACTCACACCTCATATTTAAGAAATTCACAGAAGAGGTAACCAACAGAACAGAATCAAAAGTAACAGCCAGTTCCAAGGCCGAGTTACTAAGTCCTTCCAGGCCTGACTGTACCAGAATCTAAACCAGCTCTTGTTAAGGAACGTGACTGACTTCTACTCTACAGAGGGAGGGGCCATGCAGACAGGACGGCCTCTCAAACCAATGCACGAAGACAGAAAAATCGTTAACATAGGAATTAAGACCTTTCCCAACTAACACTCAGGGACCTCAGCTGCTCCCCTCAGCCCCAAGCCCTTTCAGTGGGGGCACCAGCCAGCATCGAGTCCATGTTGGAATTCTAGTCACCAGGATCATTTGCAGGGCTGAGAATCACACCAGGCCACACTCAGAGGACACCAGAAATCATGAGATAGGAAGACAGCTGTGCGTTTAAACCACGTGGCAGCAGAGAGCCAAAACACTCTCTTTCTTTTCCTCTGAGGTGTGCCCTCAACACTGGATCCCGTGTTCCTAATCACTGTCGCTGCTGATGTGCTGACAATGTACACGTTATGCATAATGTTGTGAGCGCTGACACACACGTCAGGGTGCACCCTTGCTCAGGCAATTAGAATAGTGCCACCTCAAGACCCAGCCGTACCCCTCGTGGGCATATATCCAAAAGAGGCTCAAGTACACAACAAGGACATTTGCTCAACCATGTTCCTAACAGCTTTATTTGTAATAGCCAGAACCTGGACACAACCCAGATGTCCCTCCGTGGAGGAATAGATACAGAAATTGTGGTACATTTACACCATGGAATACTACTCAGCAACTAAAAAACAAGGAAATCATGAAATTTGCAGGCAAATGGTGGGACCTAGAAAAGATTATCCTGTGTGAGGTGTCCTAGAAGCAGAAAGACACACATGGTATATAATCACTTATAAGTGGATATCAGTCATATAATATAGGATAAACATACTAAAAAATCTATACTCTAAAGAAGCTAAACAACAAGCAGGGCCCTAGGGAAGATGCTTAATCCTTATTCAGAAAAGCAAACAGGACAGATATCAGAAGAGGGAGAAAATAGGGAATAGGACAAAAACATTCCACAGAGGGACTCTAAAAGACTCTACCAGCCAGGGTAATGAAGCAGATGCTGAGACTCGTAACCAAGCTTTGGGCAGAGTGCAGGGAATCTTATGAAAGAAGAGGAGATAGAAATATCTGGAGGGGACAGGAGCTAAACAAGGACAGCAACAGAGCCAAAATACCTGGGGCCATGGGGGCCTACAGAGACTGATACTCCAACCAAGTCCATGCATGGAGAGGACCTAGACCTGCCCTGTTCAAAAGAAGCCCATTGGCTGCTCAGTGTCCAAGTGGGTTCCCTAGTAAGGGGAATAGGGGCTGTCTCTAACATGAACTCAGTGGCTGGCTCTCTGATCATCTTCCCCAGGGGAAAGCAGCCTTGCCAGGCCACAGAGGAAGATGATGCAGTCAGCCCTGATGAGAGCTGATAGGCTAGGGTCAGATAGAAGGGGACAAGAACCTCCCCTATCAGGGGACTAGGAGAGGGGCAGAGAGGGAGAAGAAGGAGGGTGGGTAGCACTGGGAGGAGAAGAGGGAGGGGGCTGCAGTGGGAATACAAAGTGAAGAAATTGTAATAAATAAATATATAAATAAAATTAAATTAGAAAAATTTAAAAAACAAGAAACTGTTTAAAAAAAAAAAAAGTGTCTCCTCCTGCCAGAGATAAGCTCCACGAAGGCAGAGTCTTTCTTCTCGCACGTCCGAATCTATACGAAGATGAAAACCCACGGGGAGGGAGAGGGAGCTGGGAGCACCTCCTCTCAGTGCAGCTAGTTCTGTAACCACCAAAGCCGTTTATCCAACTGTGACTGAAACTCCCTTTTAGTACCTCTTTATTTTATTTATCTTTTGGCTTTTCAAGGCAGGGTTTCTCTGAGTAGCCTTGGCTGTCCTGAAACTCACTCTGTAGAGCAGGTTGGCCTAAAACTCAAGAGATCCGCCTGCCTCTGCCTCCTGAGCAATGGGATTAAAGGTGTGCACCACCACTGCCTGGCTGAGAACTACTTTTAAAATTATAATTAATTCTTTAAAATATTTTCAAGAAGTCTAGGAATTTTTAATTCCTAGGTAATACAAAAGATTGAATTACCCTTCATGGCAAATACTACATTAAAAACTTTGGACTCTTTACTTATAAAGGATAACACCTTCTCATCTTTAGTTAGATGGACCACCTACAGTACAAACTCATCTCCCATTTGTAAACAATTATACAATATGTAAGTTTGACTGCGTTAAACTACTTTGCTCTCAGTAACTATTACACTACCGTCTCCCTTTACACACTGGTGGATTTCAGTGTGAGAATCAGTGTCTTAACCAGGTAAGGGTTTGTTTGAACTTTGGGTACCAGAAAATAACATATGGAGACTTACCAGGAAGTGACACATCACCATTTTCACTTCCAGTTTCCTTAAGAGACTGACTGTGTCTTTCATCTTGGGGTTCCAAAATGTCTCTGTACTTTGAGACCATCAGAACAGATATAAAGTACACAACAGCCAATGCCAAAAACTGAGCTTGCTTGCTATCCTCCTGAGAAGAAAACAAAAGTAACTGTTCATGCCACCACCAACATTTTCAGTCTTACTCCACACCACAACACTTAAAATACAAAAGATGCTCACAAGTCTCTCAATGTGCACAAAAAACATATCATTTGATAATAATTTATTACTAAGTGTAATAATTCTAAAGTACGTTTCAGCAAAGGTCAAACATGTTCTTGGCAGCACCTTTAAATACGTACAAACACAGAAACAGAAAACCTGATTCAACTTTAAAAACAATTAAGTGCTCAATGTGAAGAGACATGTTGTACCAAACTTAAAAGGCAACTGAAATAGTAATTAACACAATAGAAAGGTAATTGATTGTTTTTACTTCTCATCATAAAAATCCAAATAAATCTAATATTAATCTAACATCACACCCAAGCTGCACTGATACCCAGCATATCCAGAACAACCATCCAGGAGAAAAAAAGTAAAGCTATCACAAAGAGAAAAGGATGGATCAGGAAGCATCAGGGTATTTTAAACATCACAGGCAAACACAAGTCAGGACTGAATACAAAACATTTTTCTAAAAGAAAAGGACAAGCTAAACTGAGGTGCAGGGCAGCCATCCAGCTCTGCAGATGACCTCCACGCGGCCACCCGTGACCTCCACACCCAGGGTAAGAAATGCCATTCACACCACTTCTGATAACACCTCTTGTAAGAGTTAACTTATTTTAAATTTTAAAAATAAATATGCCTATGAAACCTAAAATTGCAAGCATCTCAAGTAGTTGGTAGTTGGAAAGTTGCTAAGTCTGATGATAAAATGCAGTGATTGGCACTTGTCCTAGGCCCTCAGCTTTGTTGCCCAGAAAATATATGGAAACTTAAGGGACAATTAGATTAAGTGTCAATTATTATTTACTGTTCTCATATATGAAATTCTAAAAGAAATAAAAAACTTAAATTAAAAAAAATGTTCATTGTCAGACGTTCTAGAGGCAAGTTCAGAAAAATATCATATGTCAAACTCTCCCTTAACAGGTCTGCTTAAAGCAGTTCTGAGGCACATTTCTAGTGTGATAAAATCTACTGCACTTTAAAGGTTTGCAAGCATGAGTTTCTTAGTAGAAAAGATGAATGTAGGTTTTTCCTCTTCTATTATTCCTGCCGTGTATTATAACTGCTAACGATGTGACCATTAGGCAAGTCACTGACATCTTTTTTCATCCCACCAAATTACAAAAATCTTGAACTCACTTCCTCCACCTCTTTCTACTATGTGCTTTCTAGCCCCAAACAATCTAACGCTGTCATCTTCCTCCCAGGACTACAACAGAGATGACAGACACACGGCACCTGGCGCTGCGCTATTCGGTCAGTATTCAGAAATGACTGTGCAGTGACAAACTCCAAATTCTAAACTTGTATTAAGACCCAGTCAGGAACACAAGAGGGCACTAAAATACCGGAGAAAGAAAAGGGAAAAAGAAAGCTAATGCTCACCACTTTCACATGACACACAGATTTAAAGTGCCAATACAAAATGTACAGCAAGTGTACAACGAGTGATTATTTCAAATGACTATTACAAAGATTACAAATGACTATTTTGAGATTTATGTTTTATAAAACTTTAAAAATTTAACATCGGGGGGGCTGGAGAGATGGCTCAGAAGTTAAGAGCACTGGCTACTCTTCCAGAGGTCCGGAGTTCAATTCCCAGCAACCACACGGTGGCTCACAACCATCTATAATGAGATGTGGTGTACAGGTGTACATGCAGGCAGAACACTGTATACATAATAAATAAATCTTAAAAAAAATAACACCAGAATCTGCTAAAACAACATTATTTTCATCTTTAAAAGGTTAAACAGACAGCAAGACATGTGACAGCTGTCACAGCTCTAGAGAGGCTGGAGGAGCAAACAGAGTTGAAAGTCACCTCAAAAATAAAAAACAAATAAAAGTTTAAAATACTACACCACGGGAGAAACATTTCATTATGTACCTTCTAATACAGTTAACACTTCAGGGAGAAAACACATTAACCATTCAGTGAATGGTGCAGAGCCGGGAGAGAGCACGTGTCTACACTCCTCATGAGGACGGAGGCCAGACTACGGGGTTAGGGTTCTGCCTGCCGTGGCCGCGCAGCAGCATCTGACCAGGTTACCTAAGCACCAGCCAAGGGACAGAACGCTGCTCTCACATCTGAGAAAGCAGCTCAGCTAATCCCTCTTAGCACTATAGGACTCTAAAATCATTTCCAAGAAACCTGGTTTCTAGACCTGCCTGCTTTATTTCACAGAGCTCCCTTCTTCTGTAAGGACGTTAGGCCCAGAGAAAGCAGTAAGAGAATGCCTGAAAGAAATATTTGAACTTACAACGTCTCTAAACACAACTGCTCGAAGCCGGTTGATGTCCATGTCTTGCAGAAGCCTGTCAAGATCTCTCACTGGAGATACACCACCACTCACAATGTCCACTGGGCTCTATTTGAGATCAAATAATAATAATAAGATTAATAATAATAATAAATGACACACACATTAAGCAAACTTAAAAAAATCAATAAGACAGTGAGATATCAGAAAAGCATGCCATAAAATGCTTTTTCCCAGTTTTTTCATATAATTTTTCTTTCCTTGTGGGAGTTGAGATTAAATGGCGAAGGGAATCACATGGGGAAAACTGACATGCCTGAATGAAAGCATATCATAGCAGCAAGAAAAAGTATTGGAAAAGCAGGAAAGATTAACAATTCGCTAACATTTACCACGTATTTAAACACAAACATTTGAATGTTATATTCACAGAAGAAACCTAGAAGCTATGTGAGATTTATTTAGCTTTATGTTAAAATGAGCAAACTTTAGGATCTTAATTGTAGTATATCAACACACTTTTGTAAAACCAACGATTCTATATCCTACCTTTGCTGCAGACCTCCCCAGGGGAATCGGGCGAGGCACTGTTTTCCAGCCTTCTGCTGTGTCTCCTCTAGCTTTCAGCTGTGAATGCTGTTGACACTCCAAGCAGTTCCTAACAGCCACTGCACACACTGTAATGCATAAGAGAGAGATGGAGGGAGAAAAGAAAATTGTATGTTAAGGATACAGCACAGATACAAGTCACCTTCCCAACACAATCCCCTGTTATACTTTGTTCAAAATAGATTACCTTCAGCAGATTCCTAAAGTGTCCCTAGCCAGTGATTACTGACTGATTTTCCTCTTTGTGGGAGAGCAGCTCAGCTGGCGGCATGTCTACCTGGCACTGCTGAGACTTTGGATTTGAGCTCTATCCTCAGCAGAAAACAAGGTTTGGTGGCTATGCCTATAATTCCAGCACTCGGGAGGAGGAGGCAGGAGGACCACAAGTTCAAATGCCATCTTCATCTAGACAGCAAGTTCAAAACCAGCCTCATCTTCATAGAGCCCTGTTTCACAAAATGTTCTCCAGCCCCCTCAAGAACGACCTAGGAGTTCTGCTAAACAGAAATCAGTTCAGGAATGGCCTGTTTGTCCTGTACTTCCCATGACTAAAGCCACAGCCTCACCGTGCTAGGCAGCTACTCTACAGGGCTGCACACAGCCGGCCCAGCTCAGAATTCTAGTAAGTTTAAAGACGCAGCGGCCTGACAGACAAGTCAACATTCAGATTCCAACTGCACTATCACAGTTTCAATGTGAGATAAATTTCCTAACTTTTACAGTTTCCTCACGGAAAAGAACAGAACAGTTGTTACTGCAACATAAAAATCAGCTCTAACGAGAGAAGTTAACAAACGATGGCATCTCTTTTGTTGTGCAAAACATGAACTTTTCACACAATTTCTACAACTGGTACACCAACTTCTTCTAAGCACACTAAATCTAAAAGCTATGCTCAATGGCATTTTAAGTGAAAATTATAATCGTACAAAAAAGTCTAATTATTGGGAATTACTAGTTTATATTACTTATTGTTGATAAATATAGAAAATGTCTCATTTGTTGGCTTCTCTGCTGCTTTTATACATAAGTGTCTTCATGAAGCCCGGGTTCCTAGGTTTGCTTCCAATTCTTAGGCCCCGCACTAAACCGCAGGCCACATGCTAAGTACACACCTAGCCCAACAGAAGGAAACCGTTACATTAATGTGTGGGTGACTGAGACTGCTAAATGGAATTCTTAACCAATGGCTTTTAACAGCTTACCCAGTCGGAGGCACTGTCGCAGAATTCCTCCAGATGACATATTTTTTTCAGCTTCAATTTCAGTGAAACCAAGAGAACTTGCAAATATAAGCACATCTACAAGGCTGATGAGCCTCTGCAGAAATGTCACTGAGGCTTCTATTGAAAGGCCTTGTGTAGGCTCAATATTCTCCAGCTCATGCTGTAAAACACAGGATTCCATAATTACCTCCATTCACATCTACCAGATGCATTCTTAACGTTCTAGCTTTTTTCAAGGTCAGGCTTTCTGAAAATCTACAACAGTAGACTAATTTCTCTTTTCATCTAAAAAAAAAGCAATGAGACCACGTCCACCATCCTCCTTACAAGCGAACTCAGGCCTGATAAAGTAACAGTCTGTACAGGCTCTTTACCCCTTCTAGACATCTCTCCAGGTAAACATGAAGGTGTGCTCTGTTACGGCGGTTACGGCGCAGCCACCACACTGAGCTTAATCAGGAAGGACACACAGCACTCACGACTTCACAGCAGGTGGACAGGGAGGTCCTTACCGTGGCCGATGTAGCAGCCGAGAGCAAGGGCAGTATGCCCCCACAAGCCATGACCACACTGTCCGTCACTTGAGAGATGAGATGAATTGTGTTGTGGACAAAGATGACGTTATCACTGCTATTCACGAAGTCCATAACTGTCTTTGTTGAGTGGCTGTCCAAAGATAAATTATGTTTAGTGATGAAGCGAAGGACAGGAAATCACAGAATACCGTATACCTGCCTAAGGAGAGGCAGGAAGTGAAGCAGGTCCCAAGGAGCACACTTCCTCAGAACAAGCAAGGCGCTCTGTCAGCAGCCACTGTCTATGGCCAAGACATGGCCTTGCTAAAGCAGACCCTGCTCATCACACATCTGGACTACAGGCTTGAGCGCAAGTAGACTTAGTAAAAGTCACACCGAAAACTAGGCGGCAAACAGCACCACATGTGCTATCAAGTGAATCTCTGCTAACACTTTCTTGCATAATGGCATAAAATTCTCTTAAATGGTAAGAGTAACATATAAACAAAAATCAAAAACTTGAGTTCTTTTAAAACTATAAATCATACAATGTAAACTAATAGACAATATATAGATTACTCATACTAAATATGAGAGCAAAGTAAGACATAAATTTCAACTAGTTTTGGGCATCTATAATAGTATGCCCACTTAAAATACCTACCATCTAGTTAACTCTATTCTAGAAAAAAAATGCTATAGTAAACCTTGAGCAATTTTTAATAAGGAAAACCTTGGATTTTCATGGTTTTGTAGCCCAAACTGGGATTCCATGTGTAGAATAGAGAAAAAACGGAAACACGGTAGAACACTAACATAGAATAATTTATAGTCTGCTTTTTCAATCAAATGTCTGGGGTAATGAAAATGTTTACATAAATTTCTTTGAAAACAGAGATGAAGATTTACACATCTTCCTTAATGAACACATGAACAAACCTTCTCCACATCTGTATATCTGTTTCTATGGAAAATAAGAGATCAGTGAGCAAACGCTGATGCATCTGAGACCACTTGAACTCAGGGATGCGGAACATGGTCGACCTGGAGTCCCTCCTGGGTTGGTCAACAGCATCCGGTGCTGCTCCTTGCCCTGGCTGTTCCTGTTGTCTTGAGAGCTAATAGAGAAAAAATAAGAAGTAATAAATTAAGTTTAACTTCAAAGCAAGGCATTAGCAAAGAATTCAGTCTTCCATGAAACCCATCTAATAAATTCTAATTCTAATACACTACAACACTACAAAGGAAACTCAGAAGAATCAATGAATAATTATCAATGAATAATCTTATCATGCATTTAAAGCAAAGTTATCAATAATGCTAATACCATTACTGATACTGCAGGCACTGCCGCTGCATAGCATTTCACAAAGGAATAACACAGTTTTTAATTTTGAGTATTAGCAAAGATGACAGTATTTGTGACCCAGATAGCAACTAGATTATTCTTCATTAGATATAATAAAAATTAACAAAGGTCAACATAATGAAGAACAACAAGAACCAAAAGAAAGGGAGAAAATGAGAGACAGGTAAGAAAAAAAAAAAGCAGCAGTATTCATCCAAACACTTGTACCACATGTCACTGTGAAATATGATAAAAAAGCAAGCTGTACCTCTCAGTCACAGACTCTTCTCATGATACAAACAGAACCTTAAATTTCAAACCAAACTTATGTATTGGTGAATGCACACCCCCAGGTTTAATCAGAAAGGGAATGTGCGAGAACTGATTTAGTTGAAGAATAAAAAACAAGTATCTCCTAGAGTTTCTTTATAAACTAAACTTACAGCACTTTTGAAGCTGAAAGTGGTAATGTTTGTTGATGCTCTGTTAAAGTAATAAAATAATAACTAAACTCTCGCTGGGCTGAGAGTATAACCACTGCGTGCATAAAACTTATGTTCAGTACTCAGCACCACAAAGATGAATGAATGAGTGCTCATAAATTCAGACTAATATTATATAACAATTTGAAATGTATGTTTACATACAGACTTACCTAATTATGACATCAAACTAATCAAGTATCTACAACTGTTGTCTTTAACTCAGTGCAAATTCACGCCAAAGAAACAATCAAGGAACGCATGATTTACACAGGCAAACATACGGGCAAACATCATGCCTTTATCTCTTTATTCTTTCAAAGGCAGTATCTCTAATTACCTCAAGCCCATGTCGCTGGGGCTGTGGCGCTTGCGTGCTAGCACTGGCCTTCAATTCAAACCGCTCAGTATCTGAAGCAACACTGGAAACATCCAGCTTGGCAATCTTTTGCTCAGAACTAGCAGGGGCCTCACAGACATTGTCAGCACAATCACTACCCAACTCAGTTTCTCCAGCAAGGTTAGTTGCTTTCATTCCTCCATCCAACGTCTCATCAATGTCTGCTTGTACACTTGTCTGGGAAACAGGAGCTTCTGGTGAGGTAGCTAAAGACCCTGCTGCGGCCATACTTGGAAACCTAGCCTCTTGACAATCTCCACTTTCAGGATCATTTTCAGTTTCAGAAACAGGTGCTTCCTTCTGAGCCCTGCAGTCATTGCCACGCATGACTGGCCCTCCTGTGGCTGCAGACAAACTGCTGCCTTGGGGCTCTGTGGGCAGACTGGCTTCCTCAGTAGGGCTACCTTCCACCTTCAGGTCCACATAATCATCTTCTTCTTCTTCTTCTTCTTCCTCTACTCCAGATTTCTCCAGCAACTCTGGCACCTCTGCAGCATCTTGCTCTGAGGGAGAACTTATGACAGCACTGATTCCACTGATGGCCATCGTATCTTTGCCAGGTAGTTCAAAAGACCTAGAGGCAAGGGTCCCAGGTTCTCCTGCATCAGAAGATGCTTCTGAGTCACGGGTGTCCTTCATCTCACTTGTCGCTTCTCCCGAAGTGGTTTGGCCCAGGACCTCTCGACTTTCTTGCTCTGCTTTCTTTTCGTCAGGAGACGTCTCTGGCGCCTGCAGCTCAGGGCTGAACGTAGAATCGACTGAACTTGCCTTCCCAATACTGAAGTTCTCGTCACCATTTCTAGTGAAATGAAGCGAGACGGGAGAGTCCTTCAGATCTGAGTGCTGGGTGCCCACGAAAGCACCAACATCTGGGACTTCTGGATCCAGACGTGAAGAAGATGGCCCTAATTCTTCATCACCTTTCCCCTGCTCTTCCCTAAATATATTGGCAAGGTTTTCTTTGTGCATTTCAAAAGTAACCTATAAGAAATACATATAATCAGTTAAGAGATATATTTTTAACGAGCACCATTTACAGAACATTAAAATTAAAATTCCCTCAATTTCTTAAATGTATAGCTAATAATAAAACTTATATTTCTTATAGCATTCATTTTACAAAAATAATTTTAATGGGAATAGGTGGCATGGAATAACAAGTACATAACTAGTTAGCTTACGCATAAACACATGTGAGACAAGAATCCATTATTCCTCTAGCCTCCAAATACTGTACCAGGATCTAAGTACGCACCACTGCAAACGGCATCACACAGCAGATAATGCACAGCCTTAATACCAAGAAAACCCATTTCTCTATCATTTGTCCTCGGAAGAAAGTTTTTAAATAAATCAGTTATTCTCGATGTTATAGAAGCTCTAAATATAACTATAAACTACAAAAGCTTACATTATATTTAGCTAATGGATACAAGTTATTTTCATAACAGAGAAAAAAGCAGAGCCTTCGCCCAAATGTCAACCATTACTTTCAAAGTCTGAACTAGTTCTAAATGGTGTCCCCTCCTTCTGTGCAATACAAAAGCTGAAGCCTCTGTAAGAAGGACCATCAGGGCCCCAGTATGCACAAACATACTCCTCCTATCAGGCTCAGCTGAAGACTGGGTTGTTAAAGAAACGAAAGAAGCCCCCACACGCTGGATAGCACAGACCTTCAGGATCGGAAATGCTTGGAATATTCTACATTTGCCTGCTTTACTAATACCGTCTCACTTTATTTCCACAGTCTAAAAGCTAAGTGGTAATGAAACAACCATCCCTCTTGTTACCTGTTTTTCAAAAGGTATTTGTGACTTAAAACTGATAGTTCACAATTGATTACCAGATATTGTTCTAAATTACCCAGCTAAAAGACTAGTCATTAATCTTCACAATCATTTGATTGCTAATCTATAGCTATCTGTAATGTTTGGAAAGCACTTCTATAAACTCCCTGTTAAAGATACTTATGTGCTATTAACTACAACATTTTTTTTGTCATCGCTTGCAACTGATTGGGCACTCAAATTCACTAACCAGTAAATAAAGGAGAAATTAACCAAGACACTAACATTATCTTTTAATTTCATATATTAAGAATGTTTAACTCAAAAATTTAGACTGTTTAAAAATTGACAGACATGTTTAGCAAATGGTTTTGTTTTAAATAAATGCATCTCTTTCAGTGTGTTACTTTATTCAAAATTGCTGAATATAACATCTTGGTCTCTAATTCTTAGGTTAATAATGTTTTCCACAACAAATAAACGAGACACATGTTTTCAAGGCAACTCAATCGTTCCCATGAAATATGAACACACACCACTCAGAAGACTACTACCACAGAGAAGAGCCTGTCAACACTGACAGAGCAGCACTCACCCATCATACATGGCAGCAGATATAAAATCTAATTGTACTTACTGGTTTTTCTTCCACAAGCACTTGTTCAAATTTATATACAAAACTAACCTCTCTACTAGTAGAGCTCCCTGTGAAGATGAGAAATATAAGGCCTATGCTATCTCAGGGAGGCTGCTGAAGTGACTGTATCATGAAAATAACATTACAAGCGCAACAGGAAAGGAAAAGTATCCCATAAGAAAACCAAGGGATACACGCCGTAAGCTCTGCACATTAATTCATTCATACAAGGAACCAAAGTGATTTTGAAACAGATAAATTCACATGGCTCAAAAAAAAGCAGATAGTATAAAAATGTCTTTCTACCACTCTCAACCTCAAATGCAAAAATCCCACCAATAATCAAGCAAGTAATCAGCTATTAACTTTTCATATATCATTCCAAAGTATTGTTTGCACATACACACAGGTATATATTCTGAGTCTGCTGCCTTTTTATTCAAATATACCAAATATAACAAAATTCCTCATATTTTCACCTAACTACTCCTGGTACATTAGCTCAAAATAATATTAAAGTCTTCTTATAATAAATGGGTGCAGAATCTTTTTACAAATCTAAAGTAATTTTTATATCTTTTCTGTGAGGTATCAGGACCTATCCCTTGGACACAGTTATACTGTAGTCTTTTCCTATCAATTTCTAACTAGGAATACTACTTTTAGTTTTAGGCCTTTTGACTTTGGTTACCGAAGAGCTGTGGTTGGTTTGTTTGTTTGTTTGTTTGTTTGCTTGCTTGTTTGTATAAAAGGGATGTGTGGCTGCTTGTGGAGTGCACTTTCAGGAACATGTGCTTTATGAAAGCCTCTGAACTGAGCCTCCCCGCCCTAAGAACACAAGACACCCCCCGGGGGCCCCTTCCTGCAATGGGAGGAAAAGAACAGCTTCACTTGCACAGAGAGCAGATCCGGGGAGGACAGACATTTCTGACACTTGCTACTTGCAGCTCATGCCTCTGTGTCACATCCTATCTTTCCACGATGTCCCCCTCTTTGTCTAACAGCATCACAGCAGCAAACATCATGGTTTCCCTGATTATTCACATCCTTGTGAAGGGTTTAAATTTGTCTTAAATAAACTGGTAAGTGTTTGCCATGTTTACCTTCTGTCAGTCCACTCGCCAATAGCCAACATTTTAAATGGATGTGAAGGAAAGATCTTTCTCCCTACAGGAGTTTTCTCACAGATCTAAAGTTCTTACTCTGAAGCTCACCATAAGTATTAGTAAACACTCATAATAAATACAAAATAAACTTTCTCCTTTCATAAAATGTTTTAAGCAACATTTTCTTAGCAATATGACATGAGTGTATAATCTAAAGAGAAACCCTAATAGCACTACTATTTGTATTAAATACGCTAAAACATAGGAACATTCTAGAATTTATTTAAAATCCAAACTTATGTAGAACTAAGTACAACTTTTTTCTTTTTTTTTTTTTTTTTTTTTTTTTTTTGCCATTGCTTGCAACTTATTTGGCACTGAAATTTACTAACTTAGAGGTAAAAGAGAAATTTCCATAAAGCACCAGAATTCCTAAGTAGTAATTATTCACCAGTCAATAATACCCTCTACAATACACTGCATTAAGCTCATTTTCACGGGCGATTCTGAATATATCTTTCTTTTTAAGTTCTTAAGCAAAAGCTAACATTCTGATGGTGGTGAACAGTACTGTTTTTGGTCTCCCAACTCTATTATCTTGGTCGTCTAGATAAAGTTAAGGCAAATCATGATGAAACAATGCAGTGGGCAGACTGACAGCACTGCTGAGATGGAGGGAGGTGAATGGAGCTCACAGTGTAGCCTGAGAGGCCCCGCCTCTGACAGACCTTCAAGGTTCCCCCATCCTAGAGAGGAACCCTGGCTCCAGACTGGAAAACCCATCTCCACCTTGCAAGCCCCCACTTTGGAGAGCCCCGCCCCCAGGAAATGGGTATTATTCCACTCAGTTCTCTGATGCTTCTCACCCAAGCTGAGGCAGCCCCTCCCAGTTCTTCCCTCCAGTCAATCTCTTGGCTCCTGACTGACTGCTAGGCGACCTTTCCCCTCCTAGTTGTATCGCTTACACAAAGCCTGCCTTACCATCTGAAGGGTGTACGAAACCAACAGCAGACACTTAAAATACATACATGAAGGAAAGCTCTCCTGGGGGCCTTGAAGGTCTGTGAGGGGAGGGGCCTCATGGGCTTACACTGTGAACTCCATTCACCTCACCAGTGCTGGGGTTAGGGATTTGCGCTGTCACAGTCTGCCCACTGCACTGTTTTGTCATGATGTGCCTAATTTTATCTAGACGACCAAGATAATACAGTTGCTCTTAAGCTAAGTGTAAGAGTAGGAGAGTCAAAGCCCCAACCAGGCTTCCCTTGTCACAAATGAACTCTCCAGTGCTGAGAGGGAGTTACAGCTAACTGGGTAGTTGGCAGAGAAGACCCATGAAACTCCAAACAGCTCAGGCTACTGCCAAGGCTACCCGTTGCTCTTTACAAACTGACAGTAGGCCCTGCTGAGCACGGAGCACTCGAGGAAGTGTGGGGAAGCAAACGGGTGCCTACCCACAGCCTTCAGCCTTCATGCCCAGTGCCGAAGGTGCCAGAATGTACTGTGCACACCGCCAGAGGAGAAAGGTAGCCACCAACCCAGCTCCACAGCCAACGATCCACAGTGGCGCCCTGCGCGCCGGAGGCACAGCGGTGCTGGCACACCAGTGAACTCACAGGAATGTTGGCAGCATGCACAAAGCCTGCAAGGCTCTGCCTGGCTCCCAGTGCTGAGAACAAGTGGGCGCGAGCCCGTATCTCCAACTCAGAAGCAAGCTCCCGCTGACAAACCCTCACAAGGAAGAGCCGCTTGATCAACGGGGACTGAGAACACAGAGCACAGTGGGGTGGGCTCCACGCCCCGTAGCAGATGACCGTTCTGAAGACAAAACATTTGTCTCGTTTTGTTTTGTTTGGCCCTTTTTCACCTTGTAGGTCTTTTGTTTGTGTATTAGGTTTCTGATGATGTGATGTTGGGGGGGGGCCTGTGTTTCTCTGCTTTTCCTTCGTCTTGCTTTGTTTGTTTTATTTGGTCTAGTTTCATTGTTTTTATTTGCCTGTTTGTCCTCTAGAGAGAGAAAAGGAAGGTGTGGAGTTGGGCTTGTGGCAAGTGGAGATGATCTGGGAGGGCGTGAGAGACAGGAAACCGTGACCATAGTATACTATGGGAAAAATTACCTTCAATTAAAAGAAAGAAGTCTGCCTACACTACACAGGAAAACCCCGTCACTAAAAACATAAAGGCAAGGGACACAGCTCCGAGAGTGAGAGTTCACCTGGTGCTCACAAACCCGCTCCGCCCTCAAGCGACAGCTGCAGCATAGAATAAATGAGCTAATGCTCTTTTCTACCATAATAAAAGGTAATCACCATCAATTTTATTTTCTTCATTCCCCTTTTATAAAAATAAGATTTTTGCTGGGCTGTGGTAGTGCACACCTGTAATCCCAGCATTCGGGGAAACAGAGGCAGATGGGTCTCTGTGAGTTCGAGGCCAGCCTGGTCTACAGTG